ACCGAACAGATCAGTCCTAAAGGATGCGAAGGACGGTGCACTTCCAGGCCGATTTAGTTTCCGGGTCCTTCATGAGAACCAGAGACATTTGAGTCTTCTTTCCAGAACGTCCAAGAGCATTCAATTCGGATCTATGAGCAGAAAGATACACTCTCCGGAATGGACACATGTCTAGACGCCTCTCTCTGGTCGCGTACATGCACTGCAAAGATGTGCCCTCCAGGAAGCCTTACACTTCCCAAGCACCGAAGTTTCCTTCACCAAAGTTGGAGATAAATGAGTCCTCTGTCTTCAGCAACCGAAATCATTCAATTCGGACAAGTCTCATAGGAGTTACACTCTCCGGAATGCGAAGTGGTCTAAGCTGCTCTGGATGCTGCGAGATGGTCTTGCGACTTGGTTAACCCGCAGGCCTGAAGATGAACGCCTGAATGCTGATGCTGCGAGTTGATATGTGCGGGTAAACTATCACTGGAAGAGGTCTGAAGCTCAAGAGCAAGAGAAATGCTAAGTCCACAATCGTGCGACTTAGGCATGCGAGTTAGCCGCGCCTGGAACTATGCCGCACGATCACTCGCAAATCACTCCGACTTGAGCCTGCGACCTGGGTGCAATAGAGACCAACCCGCACAGTTTGTACATTCCCCAGAAACCGCCTTAGCCCTGCGAGTCGGAGAGGAAGGAGTCCAAGCCGCAGCAACACTCGCAAAACACTCCTACTTAGGCGTGCGGCTAAGACAGGGCGATTCAGGTTTCACAAGACAAGTCTTCATCTACTGCGACTTAGGTGTGCGACCTGGGACATACTGGACCGACCCGCAGTAACTCCCACTTTATCCATTAAAGCCGGGTCAGGACCCGGTTTGTTCCGGGCTGACCCGGTTCGTTTTTAAGGAAGTATAAATACTTTTTAGGGTTTTTTTTTTTGGGGGAAGAACTATGTTTTATTCCCTTTGTCTCTTGCCTCTTTGGTGAAAAGACTCCATTAAGAAGAGAAATATCTTTATTTGAGTGTTTAATCAAGAGAGTTTAAAGAGATCTGGGTGTTTAAAGCTGTTTTCTTTTGAATCTATCATCTCCATCTCCATTTCTCATCATTAATCATGCTAATCTACTCAACTTGCAAAGGTTTAAGAGAGATTAGTATGATTAGTGAGTAGTCACCTTAATGAGGTTCTAGATGTGTAGGTTAGGGTGCTAAAGTGTTAGATTAGGAGTGCTTAGGGCTAGATTCATTGATTCATCTCTCTAAACAGCTGTTCTCTATGCTAGATCCTTGATAATCACTTGAGATCTAGATTCTGGGAATTTCATGCACCAAAAGTGTTTGATGAAATTCCTGAAAGAGTTGTGTTAGAGGTTTAAGTAATTTTTCATCATGGGAATGATTTGTTAAATGCTTGAATGATCATTAAGAGCTGTTTGTTAATGCATATTGATTCATGTTTCACAAATGGGAATTTGGTTTGAAAGTGGATTAGTATAGGGGTTAATACCTTCATGAGAGGATTAACCTAGATTAGAGTTCTTAATCATTTGAATCATGTCTCATCATTGTCATTAGCATTTCTAGTTTAACACCAAGGCACCCTAACCAACTATCATGTCTAGAATCTCATGCCTCCATCATACCATATTCACATCATTTGTCATTGTCATTTGTCTTTAAACCTGTTTATGTTTATAGTTGTCTCTAGATTAATCAAAACCTATTCTTGTTTGCTTGAATTAAGAACTTGAACATATAGCTTAGTGTCTAACACCACATTTGGATTGATAAACCTCTTTGTGCTACATTGACAAGGGGATTGATAGCCCTGAGACCATAAAAAGTCTTGTCTATCATTATATTGATGGCTCTTGGAAAGAAACAGACTTAGTTGCTAGTTTAGACTGGTATTATTTTAAAGAAGGAACTCAGGATACAGTAATAGGTGCACCAAATGTAAGGCGGAGCCTAACTCCCCTACATGTGGAACTGTAAGCCCTTATATGGGCTATGAATTGTATGCTGGAAAACCAAAAGACGTCTGTAGCTTTTGCAACAGACTGTTCGGAGGTGATGAAGATGGTGTCTACACCGATGATTGGTCAGCATTTGATCTACACTTGGAGGAGATTGTGAAGATGAAGAACATGGTTAGCTTTTTCTCTATATCGCATATCCCACGCGTAAAGAGAATGAAGGCGGACATCCTTGCAAGAAGTGCTGGGTATACCCTCAAGATGTTATTTATGTAAACTCAGTACCACCGGTTTGACTTGTCGAACCTTTCTAGGTACTCAGGCTGTGGACCAAAAAAAAAAGAAGATCTGCATGGAACTAGAATAGGCACTTATATGGCTAACCACCTCTCCTCATCTTAACCAACTAATCACTTAAACTCGTCAAGTAGCTTTCGTCTCTTGCCGCAATGCATTACTAATGGAATTCGTTTTTGCTAACATCTTCTCTATAGGTAGCTTTCATCTCCTACAGCGACTATGTTTTCCGAAGCTATGTCCAGAGATCTGATACATCACTCTCGTGGCTCTGGTCATTCCTAGGTTCAGAGATTCGTTAATGACTCTAACCTCATGCATTATATTCAACTTAAAAGAGATGAGATATAGAATATGGTTGAAAAAAACTAGCAATCGCTATTGAACATATATATCCCTTCGATGGGTCCTTAAAACTCAACTACTAAACTATTCTAACATGATGCAGGAAAAGATAAACAAGTATGAAAGATGCATAGACTGAAAGTAGAATGGATAGATAAAAAGAAAGAAGGAGATAGGTCAAAGGTTTAAGGAAAAAATCCCTCTCTCCTTCGCCTAACCCTAAGAAACAAAGTTTGGTGGCTTAAAAACTCATTATAGGAACACACACCCGTTTAGGGCTGCTAAGAAATGAATTTATATGTCTTAAGGTCTTCTAAGTCTTCTTTAGGGCTTCTGCGAAGAGAAATGACAAAATGGGCTTGATGTTGGGCCTTGGGGCCGAGTTGTGATGCACCGCGGGTGAGTCTTCTGGAACTGGTGAAATGATGGTTCACCGCGGGTGAGAAGTGTAGGGCGCAGCCAGAAGGGGTTTTGTCGCGGGTCAGCTGAAGTTCAGACTGGTTGACAGGATAACTTAATCTTCATATATTTTTTTATTGCACTGTTGGGTTGTCTTGAAGTATAGTGCTATGGAAAGTATGTTGGATCCTCTTGGATGTCTCCAAATTTGAGATGGATCAGACGGTGAGAAGGACTTCATCTGAGACTGAACTTCTGACGGTTTGACTCTGAGCTAAAAGTGTGGATTTTCTCCATTTTGTCATGTTTTTCCCTAAGTTTTCTGAAAAGAGTCTTGAAACTAAAAATATAGAAAAACAGTAATAAAAACTCCTAAAACTAATCAAAACCTTTGAAAAAGCATTTGAAATCAATAGTGAAAATGAGTACAAATACAGTGCTATCAGCCTCACTTCGCAAGGTAGTTTATATTACTGCTTTTATATAGTTATAAAATAAATGAGACATGTAGAAAAACTATTTAACCTTGTTAGAATTATCGGCATCAAGTCATATCCACCAAAACACTACATTTTGACACATAATACTCGTAACGAAGCAAGATTAAAATCAACCACCAAATTTGGGTCTACACAACTATATAAGTTAAATCTTTCAAAAAATTCTATATTCCACAAGGAGAATAAAGTTCTAAGAGTTCAAAATTCATGTTAGAGAATAATTGAGAATAATTCTACTTTCGTCTTATTCAAATATGAATCGAATGTCCATCCATTTGACATTAATCCATTTTGTTTTCACAATGCACTCATAATCTTTCTTTTTCTCTCTCTCTCTCTCTCTCTCCCCATCTTCTCTCTCTCAACGCGACAAATTGAAGCACATATCATATTTTAATCTGATCTAAATATAATATTCACTATATTACTTTTTTTTTTTTTTTACTTTTTCAAGTTTCGATATCTCTTTTCTGACTTGAACGTTGGAGAATTTTTGTAAAGACTTCAATCATTCATCCTTTTAATTATTGGCTTGGAAATATTATCATTTTGGAATGAGAATATTACCATTAGGTGTACTTTTGAAAAGTGTAATTGCCAAAAAAGACATTTTCTGGTGATGGTGTACTTATTTTACTTTGCTCTCATTTTTGGACTTTTTTGTCCTTCTTTTTTTTTTACCTTATATTTACATACTGAAAAATATTAAAACATACGGGACTCACTTAAATTCACTCATCAGCTTCCATACACTAAATCGCATGGGACCCACCTTATTTCATCAGTTTTCATACACTAAATCGCATAGGACCCACCCATATATATGCAACTATATGGATACTCATGTAAATATGCACATATATTTATATAGTTACATCCATCTATAATATATGCATGTGGATATGCATGTAAGTATATATATGTGTATCTATATAGTTACATCCATTTATACTCTATGTACGTGGATATGCATATATATATATATATATTTGTGTTCATGTGTACGCTACTATATGGATACGTATGTGTATACATATATATCTATAAAATTGCATAGATATCCATATATTTGTGTCCACGTGGACGCTACTATATGGATACCTATGTGTTTATCACTAAACGACAAAAAAAATTAAGTTGAAAAATATAAAATAGGTATCAAAGTACTAAGAAAAAAATTATATAATTTATAGAATCAAAATAATTATTCGATTATTTTTAAAACAATAGATAAATAACAACAAACAATTATGGGAGGTGTGTGATATTAATATAATATTAAATAAATAATTAATATAGATAAGTAGACAAAATGGTTAAAACAGTCATTTGTCTCTTCCAAACAGAAGAAAAGTATGTCTTTTAGAGCTCTTTTATGGCAGTAACTAGTAACTTGCTTGGTTATATTTGAGAGACACATCAGCATAGCGATTTTGGAGGCGATTTTCAAAGCGACTAGGGTTTCCGCCGTCCGCCGCACGTAAACGGTGGAGGATGGAGGAGGGTTTGGAGTCTCCGGCTCCAATCGATGGCGGTCAGAATGCAGAGTCTTCTCCGCGGCAGAACTCTCAAGCTTCTTGGGTAAACGTCGTGAAAAAGACACCGTCTCTTTCGAGTCATGAGGTGATAGTGAAAGTTGTGGATGGTTTGGACACTGTGGAGATCCCGGAGGAGATCATATCAAACTCGGTCCCGCTGTGGGATGATCTGTTGGAAGGACGGTTTCTAGCTACGGCGCCTCATGTGGCAAAAATTCATGTGATCGTTAACAAAATATGGCCTTTGGGAGATAAGAGTATCCGAGTCGATGTCTTTGTTGTTAACCCCACTACGGTGAAGTTTCGCATCAATGACAGATCGGTAAGGGAGAGAATCCTTCGACGGGGCATGTGGAACATCGCTGGTGTTCCAATGATAGTCACAAAATGGTCTCCGGAAGAGGAGAAGGAACCGGAGCCTGAAGTGAAGGTTATCCCCATGTGGGTGAAGCTTGTAAACGTGCCATACAAGATGTTCTCATGGGAGGGATTGAGTTTTATTGCGAGTGCGGTGGGGAAACCTGTTAGACTGCACCCGGATACTATGCTTTGTTCGAAGTTTGATGAAGCAAAGATTTTTGTAGAAGCAAACATGACAAAAGAGTTGCCAAAGGTATACAGATTCACATCGAAACAAGGAATTGATACGGAGGTGGAGTTTATCTACCCATGGCTCCCATCGAGATGCTCCATCTGCTCTAAATGGGGTCATATATCTACTGCCTGCTCGCCAAGAGGTGATCAAGCTATTAAAATTTTATCTCCTCAAAAGGTTTCGGCAGAAAGCGTGCCAATAAAGGAAAAGAAAGCAGAATGGAGGAAGAAGGAAGTGGTAGGAGTAGATGGGGGCGAATCAGTTCTGCCTATGGTAGGGGCTGGCTCTTCAATGGTTGTTGCGCCTTCTACAAGTGTGGGCTCAGGGGATTCAGTAGTGGATGCTCCTGCAGTTCCCATAGTCGAGGCAGAGATGGAACAGTCTATTAAGGAATTAGAAAAAATGCAGAAGGGAAATGACGGAAATTGGTCATAGGTTTCCCCAACGAAAGCGAGAAGACAAATAGAGTGTGCAGAGAAATCAGATGATCTCATTGTCTCGCCATCTCGATATGCGGTTCTGCAAGAGCAGATGGAAACAGAGGAAACAGAATCGGAGGAGTTAACTCCTTCAGCTGAACGGGAGCCGGTGGATACAGAGGAAGGTGAAATTCGTGAGAAAGCTGATGATCAAGTGGAAAAGCATGAGGAAAAGACTCTTCGGACCCTCCCTCCTCGTGCTACTAGAGGAACATCAAAGATCTCTCAGATTTCTTTAGCCCTGAACACAAAGGAGTTGCCTCCGAGTGTGACTGGCAAAAAGAAACCCCCACGACGAAATTAATTATGTCGAGTTTCTTCTGGAATGTCAGAGGCTTAAACAAATCATCAAAACATTCCATTGTGAAGAACTGGATAGAAAGAGAAGGGTTCGATTTCGGTTGTGTAGTTGAAACTAGAGTAAAGGAGGGAAGATCAAAATTGGTTGGCGATCTCGTATTTAAAGATTGGTCAGTGCTCACTAATTATGAGCATCACCGTTTGGGACGAATTTGGGTTGTATGGAAAGGAAATACTTGATTGACTCCTTTATTTAAGAGTAGTCAGTTGATCACATGTTCGGTAAAGTTGGAAGGCTGGGAAAACGAGTTCTTTTGTTCTTTTATTTATGCGTCTAATTTTGTGGAGGAGCGTAAAGAGCTGTGGAAAGACTTAAGACATCATCAGGATGCTCCTATGTTTCGCAATAAGCCTTGGATACTATTTGGTGATTTCAATGAGGTTTTGGAGGGAGAGGATCATTCTGATTATCCTCAGGTATCGAGTTCAGTGGGTATGAGGGATTTCCAAGATCTCACTCGTTATTGCTCGCTGCTGGACATACTTACCATGGTCCTAGATTCACTTGGTGTAATAAAAGAGAACAAGGCACAATTCACAAGAAGCTGGATAGAGTTCTTGTTAATGACACTTGGTTTCAGGAGTTTTCTTCTTCGTACTCTGTATTTGAGGCAGGAGGTTGTTCGGATCATTTAAGATGTAGAATCAAATTTTTGGAGGGTTCCCCAAAGCCACGAAAACCTTTTAAATTCGTTAATGCAGTAACTAAACTTGAAGGATTCAAACCACTGATCATCAGTCATTGGAGCAAAACAGAACCATTATTCATATCTACTTCGGCTCTGTTCAGGTTTTCGAAGAAGTTGAAAGGCTTGAAGCAGGGTATTCGGACATTAGCTAAAGAGCAGATGGGTAATCTGGTAAAGAAATCGAAGGAAGCTTATGCTGATCTCTGCTCGAAACAGGAGGTTAACTTTTCAAATCCATCTCCACAAGCTATGGAAGATGAACTCGCAGCTTTCAAACGCTGGGATATAGTCTCGGGTCTGGAAGAGAGTTATCTGAAGCAAAAGTCTAAGTTACATTGGCTGGATGTTGGCGATGGTAACAACAAGGTGTTTCACCAAGCAGCTACTATCCGGGAGAGCAGAAATTCCATTCGAGAGATCGTTTGTCCTGATGATAGTGTGGCAAACAATTTAGGCGATATAAAAGTGGAGGCAGAAAGATTTTTTCGAGATTTTTTACAGCATGAACCAGATGATTTTGATGGTATTGCGGTGGATCGGCTTCAGGAGCTTCTTTCTTTTAGATGCTCAGTCGAAGATAGATCTTCTCTTGTTCGAAGTGTAACTGATGAGGAAATTACTAAGGTGGTTTTTGCAATGCCTAAAGCCAAATCCCCTGGTCCGGACGGATACACTGCGGAGTTCTACCAAGAAGCATGGCCTGTTATACGGGAAGATTTTTGCACAGCAATTAAATCTTTTTTTGTCAAGGGTTTTCTTCCGAAGGGTATGAACTCGACGATTTTGGCTTTGATTCCGAAGAAGACGGAGTCGAAGGAGATGAAGGATTATCGACCGATTTCTTGCTGTAATGTCATTTATAAAGTGATATCGAAGATCATTGCCAATCGTCTAAAATCTATCTTGCCGAAGTTCATTGCTGCAAATCAGTCTGCTTTCGTTAAGGATAGATTACTCATCGAAAACGTGCTTCTAGCTACTGAACTGGTTCGCGACTATCATAGAGAGGATATCTCTGCTAGATGTGTGATTCAAGTCGATATCTCAAAGGCTTTCGACTCTGTACAATGGTGTACAATGGGCTTTTTTGGTTAATGTTCTCAGTGCTCTCTATTTCCCGGACGAGTTCATCCACTGGATATCTTTGTGCGTTACTACTGCCTCATTCTCTGTTCAAGTGAATGGGGAACTCGCGGGCTTCTTTAGAAACCGAAGAGGTCTGCGGCAGGGATGTTCCTTATCCCCTTATTTGTTTGTTATTTGCATGGACGTATTGTCAAAGCTCCTGGATAAAGCAGCATCTTTGAGAGAGGTGGGATATCATCCTAAGTGTAAAAACATTGGACTAACTCACCTGAGTTTTGCGGATGATTTAATGATTCTATCAGATGGCAAAAAGAGATCAGTGGAAGGTATTCTTCGAGTTCTAGATGACTTTGCGAGGATTTCGGGATTGAAGATTAGTATGGAGAAGTCAACTCTGTTTCTAGCTGGGTTGTCGGAGGATGCTAGACAGGACATGTCCAATAGTTTCCATTTTGCTCTTGGGCAATTACCGGTTCGATATCTTGGGTTACCGTTGACAACTAAGTCTATGACAAGAAGCGACTACCAGCCTCTGTTGGAAAAAATTAGACTGCGAATTGGTTCTTGGACAGCTCGCTATTTGTCAATGGCAGGTCGTCTTCAGTTGATTGGCTCAGTTCTTATAAGTGTTGCGAATTTCTGGTGTTCTGCATTTCGTCTTCCTCGCAAATGTATCCGAGAAATTGAAAGTTTGTGTTCAGCGTTTCTATGGTCTGGCCCAGAGCTCAATTCGAAAAAGGCAAAAATAGCCTGGTCTGAAGTCTGCCAACCAAAGTCGGAAGGAGGTCTAGGAGTCCGATCCCTGGAGGATATAAATGACGTCAGCTGTTTCAAGCTCATTTGGAACATTGCTTCTGCAAATCCATCTTTATGGTTTAAATGGATCCAACAGAATCTTCTCAAACAGCGATCTTTCTGGTCAATTGATGAACAACAGATGTCAGGTTCGTGGATATGGAGAAAGCTGCTGAAATACAGAGACAAAGCCAAGGAATTCCATCGACGGGAAATAGGGGATGGTCGAGCTACTTTTTTCTGGTTTGATATCTGGTCCGATTTGGGATGTCTGTATGATATAACTGGATACAGAGGTATTATTGACACGGGGATTCCACTCAATGCAACGATTGCGATGGCTAAGACGGCTCGTCGAAGACGTCGACACCGGACTGAACATCTGGTCTTAATTGAGGAGGCTTTATCGGCACTATCACTATCGGAAGAGAAGGATATTAGCCTCTGGAGGAATACTACCGGCGAGTTTAAGCCCTATTTTAGCTCGAAAAATACATGGACACAAATCCGGGATGCTCGTCCTCTGGTACAATGGCACAAGGGTATATGGTTTAAATTTGTGACACCAAAGTATGCTTTCTGCTCCTGGTTGGCGATTAGAAATCGGCTCTCTACTGGCGACCGTATGATCGCCTGGAATCCAGGTATTAGCTCAGAATGTATTTTCTGCTCTGCAACAAACGAGACGAGGGACCATTTATTCTTCTCTTGTCTATTCTCTGCGACCATTTGGACACGCTTAGCATCGGGTTTGCTCGCTACTCGATTCACAACTGATTGGCACACTCTGACTCAACTCATCTCAGACGACGGCTTGGCTCCTATACCGATGTTTCTCACCAGATATGTGCTACAATGTGCAATCTACTCTATCTGGAGGGAAAGAAACTCGCGAAGGCATGGGGAAACTCCAAACGCTGCATCTCGTATCATTCAGCAACTCGACAAGCAGGTTCGAAATCGTCTTTCCACCATACGATCTTCGGGATTCACCAAACTGGAGGGCAGTCTTCAGTTCTGGTTCGCCACAAGATAGAAAACTCTTCAAATGTATCTTATAAAATGCTTCGCATCTTTCTTTTTGATTTTGATGTAAAAACGTTGTTTTTTTTGTTTTTGAATCAATTTTACATTCAATTCAAAAAAAAAAAAAAAAGAAAAGTATGTCTTTTGGTAATTAAAACACAAAAATCCCTTTTTGGACATTAGATAACTCAAAAGTACACCTAATGGTAACACACTTACCAAAATCACATTATTATTGCATATCCATCAAAGACTCTGAGTTTTCATTGGAGTTTTAGAAAACTCATGCGTATACTCTCTCTCTCTCTGATGCAGTCACCAATGTGACCAACTAAACGACATACCACATTTTGATGTGATTTAAATGTAATATTCACTAAATTGTTCTTGTTTTATTATTTTGAGTTTCATTATCTCTCTTCAGCTTTGAACGTTTGGAGAATTTTCATAAGAACCTCAGCCATTCATCCTTTCAATCATTGGCTTGAAAATTTCATAATTTTGGGATAAATCAGTTAAACTATCATTGCATATCCATCAAAAACTCTGAGTTATCAATCGAGTTTTATGAAACTCATGTGTGTATAATTTTAATAAACAAATATTTGTTCCTATGCCCTAACACTAATTACTAGTCATCAAATTTTTTTTAAAAAATCCTCTACACCTCCACTAGGGCTTAATTAGTGTATGTTTGACAATATCTTGTGTCATGGTCTTCTAAAAAGTAAAAGACAGTGGCTCTCTCATCGACTGAAACAGAATACAAGTCAGTTTCCTTGACTGCATCTAAAGTTCAATGGGTGATAACTCTATGTTTTTAACCATTTTCACTATGGATTTTTATTCCTTTCTAAGTGTTATTATTACAATTTTTCTATATTTCTAGTGTTAAAACTGTTTTCAGCCTACTTAGATAAAAGCTTTGTAAATTGAAAAAAAAACTAGATTTCCGGCTTAGCGTCAAACCGTCAGAAGCTCAACATCAAATGAAGACCTTCTCACCTTCTATTCCAGCCCAAATTCAGATATAGACAAGAAAGACCAGCCAGATTTCTATTTTAGTTGACTTGAGGATGATCCAACGATTTAATCAAAAGATACATAAAGATCAAGAAATTTCGTCAAGCAGTACGACGAGCCTCCGACCCGCAGCCAGAACCACTCCAACCATGACTCAAGAAGCTCCACCCACGACCAAGCTGAAAACGTCCCAGTCCAATTTCAAGCCCTTTCGATTCCCGTTTGATCTCATCTATGTGGAAACCCTAAGTCCGTCATAAGAAGACCTTAAGCACTACAAATATATGTCTTTAGAAACCCTAATTCGTGTATCTTTTTAATGCCTCTTTAGTGTTCTTAGTTTTGCATCATTTACTTTAAGAATTTTTCCTTTCATTTAAGATTTGTAGGGAAGTTTTCTCATAACTATGTTCTAATAAGAGAAGCTTCTTCTTCATCTGCTACTTTCCTTTCATCTTGGTGAGCTCAGCTATGGCTAAGCAATCCACTAGTTGGGTTTAAGGGATCCATCGATGGGGATTATATATTCGATATGGATTGCATGTTTTACTTACCATATTTTAGATCTTTTCTTCTAAGTTTATTCTTACTGCATGAAGTTAACGTCATTAACTAGCAACTGGTTTTAGGTGTAATAAACCCACAATAGTGCTGGTTTTTGTTAACCGGACATAGCTTCAGAAGAACAAAATCACTATAGGAGGCGAAAGCTATCTATACAATGTTGTGAGCGTAGATGAAATTGTTCAGCATAATAGTGTTATCTCTTGTGGGCCCGAAAAAGAAAGGTACTGGTCGAGTAGGTATTCAATAGTTGGTTAGTTCTACCACAGTAGATTAGTCATACATCAGTGATTTCGAGTTCTAAGATTTAAGTAGAAACTGATTTGTAAGAGCTTTGGAAACATGTTGGCTCTGATTGGTATCACCAACCGCTCGGTTGGAATGGGCGGAAAAACGTAACCAATCAGCAAGGGCGATTGGAAATAACATTTAGAACTACAGTTGTAATAAGTGTTTAAAATAAGCGGTTGGAGGATGATTCGGGCGATTGAAGGTTGGTTTTTGAACGGTTACAAACTGTAAAAATATGAGCCTTTGGAGCAAATGAGCGCCAATGATTTTTTTTTTTTAACAAAATTTATGATTTTGTATTGTTGGCTTTTTAGATTTACATATTAAAATGATTTGTTTGTTTCTTTTATTTATGTATGTGTGTGTCGTTTTGTTTATTTTTTTGTAATTTTATTCAATTCAATTCATTCGAGACAAAAACAAAAGAATTTAGAAAATAGATATACTTGTATATTAAGTCAGTCAACAAAAAAATTAGAATTAGTTTTACATTTAAAAATTATTAAAAAATTTATCATCCTTATTTTTTTAAAAATAAAAGAATCTAAAATATGCTACGCTTCTTTTATTAAAAAATAGTTGTATATATATATATATATATTCTTTCCGTTGAAAAATCAGAAATCAGTTGTACATTATCATCATTGATAATTGTAATAATAATTGGAATCTAAGTATTCTGAAATTTTATATCATAAAAATTTAAACTATATATTACTGCATATCATTTTTTAAATAATTATTTAAACAGATTGATAATTTTATATAGTTATACTATTCAACTGCTGTAATTTCACAATCAATCTTAATATTAAACCGTTTTCTGATACCAAACGATCTTTTCCAACTACTATCTCTAATCACTCTTTTTCTAACCGTATTTACTACAACCACGCAAAATTCTCGAACCGGCTTATTTAAACGAGCTTATCAATTGGACCCTCCATGAAACAAGCATCCCCTAGATATCCTTGTCTGTCCAACATTCGTTTTTCTATTGCTTACATAATTTTTTACTAAGACTTTTAATTTTTCTGTTTGTATTTTTACAATTTGGAGACACACCAAAACCTATAAAAACCCTCTTTTGTCTTAGAACTCATTACTAATTCTTTGCCTAAGGTTTTTGCAGAAAAAACATTTTTTCTCTGGTATCAATGGGTTGTATCTCTCCTTGGCAAGCGTGGATTTTCTTTCCCATATCCTCTGGTGATTTACTTTGATAATACTGGAGTAACATACATGTCTGTAAATCTTGTTTTTCACTCTGGGATAAAACATGTCGCGGTGGATTATCATGTCTTTCGGGACCTGGTATAACTGGGTTCTCTATACGTTTCACATGTTTCTGATCAGCTTTTGGATGCTCTTACTAAAACATAATCTCGTGCCAAGTGTTCTTCTCTGTGCGTCAAGATTGGCCTCTCCATCCTCGGTCCATCCTGAGGGGGTGTATCAAAGTAATTAGGTTTTTACTGAGTTATGACTCTTCTTAAGGATTGACTCTCTCTTCGTATTCATCTCCTTCTTAGTATTCAGCTCTTCTTAATACATCTTTGTATTCATGAATTGTACTTCTATAAATACTTTATTTCTCATGAATATAAGATTAATACAATTTTAATAATCAAATATTTTCACATTTCCTTCTCCATTTCTTCGTCATTAGTCATTTTTCTATACTCTAAGTCTTATGTTTAACTGATGTGAAAAATGATCTATTTATGACTGTTGACTTGCCGTTTTGAACTTTTTCATTTCCATTACAAATCATTTGAACTCCGGTTCACTCCGCGAAGCTTTGTGGATCTTAATTGTTATTATGCTAATGTGTCATTTTATCTGGTCTATTTCCTAAAGTTTTAAAGCCAAGATTTTTGATGTGACATCCCAACTATGAAAAAAATGAATAAGCCCAAACTTTAAAGCCCAGAAAAAGAAATAAGTTCTAATTGTTAGTAAGGACATTTTTGTCATTTCTCCTCCATCCTAGACCTAAGGAGCTCGACCCCCTCCCTATATAAAGGGCCAGCCACATTCTTTTGAGAAGAACAAAGAGTTAACGCAGTGAAACTCTCTAAAAACCTCTGCAACCTCAGTTTAATATTTGTTCGAGTGAGGGTTTTCCTGTGTTATTTGACAGCAACTCAGATTGAGCCACATGCCGATCTTTATACCTCTGAAAAAATCTCGCTGCAAGGAATCCATAGCAGTTTGCAGATCATAAATTCGAGATTAGCTCCGTTTTTTACGTGAGTTGAAAGTTAGCGAAAAATAATTTGTTTATGCAAATCTGATTTATCCAGTTTCACAGTGCTAACTTGAGAGAGGATTTTCCGTCGATCCAGAAGAACCCAGATATCGATCCACATACCGATATGTAGATCTCGGATCCTTCTTTCGAGATCAACTTTCAGATCCAGATTCCGAGGTAAATTGCGAAAGTTATCGCTGTATCTTCTCGGCCAAGAAACAGCCTGGACCTGCGAATCTAAAACCCTAGTTTTTGTGTTGTGCGTATCACAGGGCTTGGATACCAACCTCTTTTCTTCAGACTCGACTTTGAGGTGTTGTTAAGGTGAGGGCTAGTTAGTAGATTCATTTGATGCATTAGCTGGTCTAGTGATAAGTGTATGTTTAGTATAGCTATTGGATTTGAGTGATAATTGATGATTGTTAATTGATGATTGATGAATAATACTAGAGCTTAGATAAAATGTTTAGTTGCCTGATTGATAGGTTGTTAGTATTTGTTGTTGTAATGCTGTGAACATGAGTGTTTACAGTTTTGTTTGACGGCCTACTGTAAAGGTCTGAATATTGTGAAGCTGTAGTGATCCAGAAAGAACTGACGAGCCATAGTCAAGCCCTGTTGAGGGTGGTGGCATCGGTAACTTGTCAAGTCCAGGAAGGATGGTGGCAGAGAATGAATACCATTTACGGAAGTTCTTTGGGAATGTGTTATAGAATATCTAGGTTGATTGTTATGATTGAGTGGTTATCTGATTATAAAATATTAGAATTATATTATATAATAAAATTAGTTAATATATTCTAGGTTGAATGTTACATGGATTCAATGTCTATATTATGGATACTCGTATTATTATATCATATAATGTGTTTATGAAT